CGCGGAGCCGCTGCCGCCACAGGGCACCGTCCCCTGCTCGGCCTCACGGTGGCGGTGCGGACGCGGCAGGGGCGCGGAGCAAAGGCGGGATCTGCGCCCGCCGCGGCCCCGGCTCACGCCGACCTGGCTCGCCACGGGGAGAGTCCGACTAGAGAGCTGGGGGGCGTTCGGGTCCAGCTGGGAAAGACGGGGTCCCTAACTCCTTAGAGTGGTTAGTCATCCCCTCCCGCAGCCCTGCGGGGGAGGTGGCTAAGGTTTGGAGCAACAACCCCCCTCCCTGAGCTAGAGGGTCCCTCCAAAGGCTAAGTCAAGAGCAGTCATTGAAGACAAAACCGTTCTGTAGTTTCTTGGGGTGCAGGTGCTTGCAGTACTCCCAGAAAGTCGCCCCCTTCCCCCCGTGCTCCAGTCCGGAGGACAAAGGTCTATCGATGTCCATACCCTTCCCCAGTGAGGACAGCCGGGGAAGACCTGCCTCTGTTGTGTAAAGGTGAGCCTCATTCCCCACGAGACATCTTTCTTAAGAAACAGACTTGACTTTTCGTTGTGTGCCATCCTCTCCCTTCTGTGTTTAAAAAGAGTAAACATAAAAGAGTAAACATAAAAGTTTGACGGTCTACTTAAGGACGTCTGGTAACTCGCTTGTCACCATAGACATGGGAAACACTGTCTCAAACCTTATTTGGCTAGGAGTCGGTAATTTAATGCAAAAGCCGCTTTATAATAGATGTTTGACAAATGGCAACTTCAGACTTTCAGATATAATCATCCTGGCTTTTGCTTTGGTAAATAAATTTAAGAAGAGAAAAGGGCTCCTTTGTCACCCCTCTTTTGCCTATAAATTGGAAAGCTTACCTCATATGACTGAAGTCTTAAGCACCAGTATTTAACGATGTTTATAAAGGATGTATGGATAGACTGCCTTTAAATGTGAACATGAATGACATGTTTTGAAAGCGTTTCCTCTCCCCGCGCTGGTGGTGTAGCTTGGTAAGACTCACAATTTCTTGCTTGGTTCTGATCATTAATGACACAGATTGTAGAGTCAGAGGATGAAGGATAAAGGCTTAGGATCCAAGTCTTCCAAATGCTTAAACTTAACGAACTGCTACTTTTGAAGTATAGATGTTCATTATCCTAAGGAATTTAAACATATTGTGTTTTGGATTTGAAAGTTTGATGAAAGTAAGGAAGCTAATTTGTATGACAAAGATGTTTTCCTGATTACATGGTAGCACCTTCTGGCAAAATGATAGCAAAAATACTTCATTAACCAATTTTTTTTTTTAAGAAAAAAGAACTGGCTTGTGAAGCTAAGCAAGGACAGGGCATTGTTTTGAAAGCTGTGAAGGTGAAATAGTATGAATTAACATCAAAAGGCTAGGGAGAATAATCATTTGGAGGGAAGGTGTAGAAGAAAAGATGATTAATTGTGGAAGGGAA